TCAACATGCCCTACACAACCACACATGGCGGGAGACCGGTTGGGAGCTTAGAGCTTTTCCCGGCTGGGGCGGTGTCCCATACTGGAAGATACCTAGTTGAGAAAAGCACGCTAGGCGACGGTAGGTCGGCTCCGGATTTCACATCTATCGCGAAAAGATCACTACCACCTCCCGAAGAACATACACAACACTTATGGGACTAATAACCTTTGTAGTTGACGCGCCTGGAATAACTAATCAGTCAATCTAACTGATTCAGTAGCAAGTGTTCAAGCGATTCTTTCACCCTTACGTTTGGCATTTGTTTATTCAGTCTTTTTTCTTTTCATGGCGACTATCTTTCTAAATTGCCAACAATTTAATGTGCGCACATTCCTCTATTTTATGTTTTCGTCACAGCGTCAATATGATTTTCAAAATATAGTATTTGATTGAAAACTGGTTGATAAGAAGAATTCAAAACTTTTCTTGTAGTCCTGAATGAGGGGCCTTCATTAAAAGTAATTATATCTCATGATTGATATTTTGAAAATCCATTATTGATTGCTCAGAAACGGCGACTGCAGTACAGGAACTATTTTTTCCCTTAAACCATTTATGTTCCTTCCAGATATTATGTTTACGAGCGAGTGTTTCACTCCACACAAATTTCACAAATACGTCTCACAAAATTATGTGTGGCATTTCACATGTGCATTATTTTATCGCTGGAGATCTTTTTTAAAAACGCCACTTTCAAAATTGATATAAATATTACGAAAATCCTAATTATGAGGTAAGAAATAGTCCAAAAAGTTTAATTTTCAACATTATTTCGTTGAAAATGAAAGAAGTGAAGCGTTCAGTAAAAACTACATTGAAAGTATGACAAGGAGGTTGCGTCATATGCTCCTCAAAGCTCCAAAGGAGCGTGGCATATTTAATATCGCAGACGTCTGTTCCTTTTCTTCGTCAATGAAACAGCGTCCTACAGAGTCCCGCGCAAGATATGAATGTGTTCATGAGCGGCTCTAGGGAATGGTTGCTCAAGTGGGGGGTTGGCACGCCTGGGTCCAACGCGGATCTGCGGGCAACCGGTGAACACCCACTGCTTGTCGAGTCACCAATAGGGAGGGAACGGAGGCGAAGTGACATTTATAATGAAAGATTCTAGTTTAATGAGAGGCGTGTTGCAAACGGGCCACTGCAAATAGCCCGGCATGAGGCCCCAAATCAAGCATTTGAGAAGCCCTGTATGAGAGGAATGATCAGGAACAATGTTAAGCGCTCAGATCTTTGGGTAAAGAGTAATTACCAAAAGAACAAATTTTGAAGAAAATCAGAACCTGGAAGTTTCAGCTTCGCACGTGACAGTTATGGCCCTCGAGTGGGGGACAAAGGCGCTAATTTTGTCCGGACTGATGAAAAGGAACGAGCAAAACCGGCAGCTTTCATGAGCTCCGGCAGCTTTCATGAGCTCCATTACTTGCTCCTCCTCAGTGGTGAATTTGAGGCCAACATTTTTATGAACCTTTCTCAAATTATTCTAAACAACTACACCATATAATTCGTATTACATTACTTCCTTTTAATTTATTTATTTCATAATCAGCATCAATGGGTTATATTAAACATAAAAGTAAATGGGAATATTGTAATGAAATATTGTCTTTTTGTATGAGGAAACCTCATAAGTCACCTCTTAGATGTTGTGGTTATTTTTTTCTTTTAGTTAGATTAAGGTGGTCGTAATTGTATTTAAGAAATTAGGATTTGATTCTGTTTCTGTTGATGGTGGTTCCTAAGTGAAAGTGTGTGAATAATATATAGTAAACCTGGTATTTTGTTAAAGAATGTCAATGTTATAGTTTTTTATATCCCATTACTAAGAATTAGTTTTAACATCATGAATACACGGTCTTAAAATGTCGTTTTAATTTTTTCATTATTCCAAAAATGTTGATAGGGATGGAGTGGGAGTTGTGCGTCCGACCTGAAGTTGCCCTCCCTCTGAACCACTTTCTTGGTGCGTCTCTCGCCCCGATTGGCCCACTGTCCGCCCCCTCCCTTGTGTCGCCGCAGCGCTGCGCGGCCTCCCGCGACCATCCTCTGGCGTAATGGACGGCGTGCGCCATTAGCATAATGCGCGCCGCGGGCAGCAGCGCAGCCAGGCGGATAACGCTTTGAATTACGCGTCGGGCCCGCGCCTTCCTCCCCAGCGTTCCCCCTCAGCGGACGCGACTCGCGACCTCGGCGGCCAAGGGCTACTGAAGGGCCTGCGCCGTTCAACGCCTTCTTCCACGGGCGCTCCGCCCTCGAGAGCCGCACGTCTGCACGCAAGAGCGACGAAAGTGCAAATACTAGGGAGGAGACAGTTTGCGGGGAGGGGAGCAACCTACCATTTGCACAGAGGGGTAGTCGCGTCGCGTAGATTGAACGCCTGGGCGCCTAATGCAAAGATACATGCTGTGGAATTATTTGCCGACTTACTCGCATTTAAATGGGTAATATCCTGTCTTTCTCGCTACAAATGCCTTAATTCAGTTTCTATGTTTGTGTGTACGCTGCTTGGTAACGCCATCTTCTTGTTTTGTTTTTTTAGTTCATGCTTATTATGAATCTTAAACAATATTTTAATTTAATCAGTGGTTTTTAAAAAGTTTTAGATTCATCTTAACATTGTCCTGTATTGACCACAAACGCTTTCAACGTATTGTAATACAAAAGGCAATATGGCTTGCACTGTATGTAACAGTCTTCCATATTCTCACCGATTGCTATTTCAATTTACCTACTTCGAATTACTCAGTTCGAATTGTGCAATCTGATTGGTGGTCCTAGAATGGGTCTCATCCCTATCCTTCCTAGCATGCTGGATTTGCAATGGAGTGGCTTGCGCGCGGCTCCCGAGGTCAGTGACGGTGTAAAATGTTGTGCAAGCCTAGTCTGCGGGGAAGAGGCTCGTGGCAGATGGATAGTGAATTCGTGTTATACCGATACGGCTCGGGATCGTCCACCAACAATTTCACATGGCTGGACTGGAATCGATCGTCGGTCAAGCCATGCGAAATTGTTGGTGGACGAAGCGAACTTTCGGGAGGCTTTCTCAGGACCCTTCCATTTGCTCCCCCTCATAATATTTCTTAATCAGTCACATCATCAATATTATGAACAGTACAAGGCCATAAAGACTTTAATATTTGAAGGGTCCATGCATTCACATGCAAGTGTTCTCGTATAAAATACTAAGGAATTTTAATTAAGAAATGCCTTTAAATTCCAGTTAAGTATAGAATGAGCAATGTAATCACAATATGTTTTTCATGAAAATATGGAATCCTCGTAACGCAGGATATTGTCTTATAAATATTTTGTGTACATTTAACAATCGCCCCAGTTCGTCTCGTTTCACGGTGACCACGGCGCAGAGGTCTAGGCGTGTTCTTCCCAACCATGCGTGAGGGAGGCCCGTGGAAATTCAAGAGGAAGAAAAAGGCTACTGGAGCCGTCTTTCATTGTTACAACCACGTGTGCAGTCGTAGAAGTGAGTAATGTTTTATGAAATAATGAGTATGGGAGTTGTGGACAAATGCAAATACCGAAAGGGGAATCGAATCCATGAGCGTCGAGATCTTCAAGGTTACGGTGATATTCCCCATTTCATTGCTTTATTGCACCTAGTTATTTTCTATTAGCTTTATGATGTACATATAGTATTGTGCGCTGTCCACTGTTAATAGGATTGTTTATCATATTGCATTCGGGTAAATAAATTGAACAGAGTATGATTCCTTGTGAAATGTTAAATCTATTGAATACCGGCTATCCGAGTAAAAATTGCTGAATGTTACGCTGGCTATAAAAATAAGTGAAGACTTCGCCCATTAAGTTAAAATACTGCACAGATGCATTTTCTCGTAATAATTGTATTCTTCATGTTGCAAAGTTTGATACGCCTGCTCAAGAGGTCACAGAGACAAGCGGAAAACGCGAATCGTGAGCGGGTCCTTTCTTTGTGGAGTTAGGAGCCGACGAAGTGCTTTAGCAAACGAAATTTTAAAGGAGATCTATGAAATTCACTGCTGTCATGGTACATACACAACTACTCAACACGCCACAACGTAATCCGTGAACGTTGTATGTTCCTATCCGTGAACCTTATAACTGCTTTTATCTCAAATGTTCAGATAGAAGAAAATTTAAAGATCTTCATTAACGAAATTACTAACGCATTTATTATTTTATGAAAAAAGCGTGAGAGAAAGAGAGAGAGAGAGAAAGAGAGAGAGAGAGAGAGAGAGTGTGAGAGAGTGTGAGAGAGAGTGTGAGAGAGTGTGAGAG